CTGGATCTCTGGAAGTGTCCAAGGCCAGGCTGGATGGGGATTGGAACAACATGGGATAGAGGAAAGTGGAATGGGATGGGCTTTAAGATCCCTCCCAASCAATCTGGGATTCTGTGATTTAATAAAAACCCCGGTTCTGTCAGGAATTTACTGGAATGTCAGGCTCAAAGACAGCAAAAAAAACCACAAAAAAAAACCCCTGAAACAAAGCCCCAGCAGCGCAATCCCCTAAAGCAACACTGAGTGCTCTCCTCAGGACACTTTTAGGATTTCCAGCTAAAAGCCACTTATCACTTCATCACCCCACCCTGACCAGCTCCATCCACGCCGCTTTTATTTCAACTCCAAACCCTCCGATTGTCTCGGGAGGCTTTTCAAAGCCTGGGAGAGAGGGGCAGAATGTAATTAGAGGACAGTATTTCTTCATCCAATCTAAAGCCGCCCACTGAAAGCGAGTGGGAAAATCCGGTCCCAAGGCAGCGCTGCTCCATGGATTTGCYTTTCATAGGGAATAAGGGATGGGAACAGCGGTGCCCGGTCCTTAATCAGCTCAGCTGATCCCTATAGAACATCTCAATGCGGGGACACAGCTGTGGCCCATAACTCTTGGCTTGATCTTCCATGSTTTGCCTGAAAAGGGCAGAAATGCACTCAAAGATTTGCTCCGGTAAATTGGTCCTTTGAAAAATAAAATAAAAAAAACAAAAAAAAAAACCCATCCCTGGCTGCACCCAGAGGAGGGAAAAACAGCTTTTTTCTCAGTGCACACGGTTAGGGATTGAGTGTGAAAGTTTTTGTGGTCGAAACCACTCCCCAAACTATTATTTGCTGGTAAAATCCAAGTTATTTAGCAATTCCAGCCTTCCGTGGGGATTCCCCTGCCTGAGGATGCACTTTTTTTCCTTCAGTATTTCAGACAGCAAACTCCCTAAAAACGCTGAAAATAAACCCACCTCCTTAGTCAGAATCTTTCTTTAAATAGTCCATTTGTCACGACTGACACGTTCCAAGTTTCAGAGGAACTCGGAGCTGTCACATCCCCCGATTTCAGCTCTTTTCCATTTGGAAAAGCAGCTGAGAGCTGAATTACAGAGCCAGAGAGACTGGGAAAAGCGTGGGGAGGAAAAAAAAAGAAAAAGCTCTGACAAAGCCAGACTGCTCAGTGACTGACAGAGTAATTACCTAATTAAAGGAGCTCACCTAGCAGAGCGTTCTTGCAAAAATCTCCGGGTATCTCCCAACAATTTGGCGTTTTCTGMGGGATTTCAGCTGATTTGTCTCCCCTTGGAGGTGGAACAGCTCATTATCATCTCGCCAGCTAAAAGCTCATTAACAACAATTAGGAAAAAAATATAAACTTGGCAGCTTTGTGTTGTTTTATGSCTATTATAGACACTCCAAATACTGTTGCAAAAAGGGATTTTTTTTCCTTTCTCACCCAGCACAACGGTGGATTTTAACCTGCATTTTTCTCAGTACACCAGGATATAAATTACTGCAAATACACAAATTAACAGCTTTAATTCACTCAGAAATTCCATSCCAAAGACGCAGGCAAAGGACAAAATCTCACCTCCATTTTTACCTCCTCTCCTCTTTAATCTGTTTTGTTTTAAGGGGTGTCTGGCTGCTCTGTGCTGGAATTCCCTGGCTCACCTGAGCCATCTTTGAGCTCAAACCTTCTAAAACCCCAAAGCAAAGAGCATTTGTGGGTACACAGGGAGACATCAGCTAACAGCTGAGTTATTCTCATCTCTAAATGGGATTTTTAAATGATTTCTGCTCCACAATTTGGATTTGCTCAGCACCCTCAGGAGCGAAGACTCGTTAAGGGTTTCACGCTAATGAGGATCCTCTTCCTTTCACTGGCATTGAAGGGGTTTTGCATTTTCTATACAAGAGCCTGCGGTGAAGTGTTTGGGAAAGGATTTGGGAAAAGGTGAAGGGTTTGGGAAAAGGTGAAGGGTTTTGGAACAACAGGCTGCTGAGACCGGAACATCTCCCAAAGTTTCATTCCCCAAAGGGTAAAAAAAAAACCAAAACAAAACAAAACGAAACCCCAGCAACAAAACCAACCGTTGATGAAATATTCAGGATGAAAACCACAAAGGTTGTTAAACAAAGTGAGGAAACTTCTGGTTCTCACCGGAGAGGATTCCTAAGAAAAGAAAGGATTAAARGGAATCTTTGGGAGCTCATCCCACCACAAAGAACCCCATTTTCCTCTTCCTCCTCACCTCAACCACTGCTCCCACYTACAGGCAAAACTTACTCAGTATCTGTTTATTTATAAGAATTTCGAGCCAAACCTCTTGGTTTTGTTTTGCCTCAGAGCTGGGCTCAACTTCAGAAAAGCTTTCACACTTCCCTAAAGTGAAAAACACCCGGGAAAGAATCCACACCTTCAGCAGCAGCTGAATTTTGTAGTATTCTTTTTATTTTTGTAGTATTTTGGAGTATTTCCATTTCTTAACTGCTCTAAATCAATCCACTAATGCCTTCTCAGGGCTGAAAAAACACTAAATTTCACTTTATGAGTCCCAGCAGAAGTCCTGTGACATTTCAGTATAAAAACAGTTAATGAAGGGGAAAAAAAAAGCCAAGAAAAACAGGATCTAAAAGACACTTTCAGTCATTTACACTGAACAAAYCACTTTTGCTGCTGAGAAAGTGCTTCTTGTCACCTGTTTGGAGGTGCTGAGACAAAACAGGGCTGCTTAAAAAAATAATAATTAATGAGTRAGTGTGTTTTAGCACTGAGGAAAACAACCTGCAGCACACCATGAGGGCAGAGATGCTTCAATCCCAAGAAATCCCCTGTAAAAATGACACCCAGAGCAGAGACAACGCCTGAATGTGGCTTTTTCTGTCCTCATTGATGGATTTTCACCATTCCCTTCCCAATCCAAACTTTCCCCAACTCCAGCACACGAGGTTGATCCCAAATTTCTCCATCCTCACAGGCCTCCCGTCGAGGCCAGGGACCACATGCAGCCGRAATCTCGGCAGGAATTGCAGCGAGAGATTCCATCTTAACAATCCTTGGCCACACAACAGCCAAACAAATCCTTAATTTTGGTTTTCTGGCTCTTTTGTAGCCCCTAACCCGTTGCATATGTGACTATTGTCCAAGCCCTGCTCCYGAACAAGCAAAATTCTCTGTCACCAACCCARCTTGCACAAGACAGAGAATTATTCSACACTGGAAAAAAATCTGCCAACTTCAAAACACCCTCTTCCACTCAGAGTCAGCTCGAATTCATCGGGAGAGAGATCAGGGGAGGAATAAATGCACATTTATGGTTTGCTGAAAGCTCGGGGACATCAAATGCTKCTCACACTTGGCACATTGTTCCCAAATATTTGCACCCAGCCCGCTCTCAAGGCAATTAAAAACACCAAATAAAACTCCAAACGCTTTTGTTGCCTTCTCTTTTTTGAACTTTTAAACATCACCAAGCCTCTCTGACCCCTGGATAAACACAGCAACCCYTGAGTGCAGCTGCCTGAGGCAGAGCAGCCAAAATTCGGTGAAAATTCCTCACRGGGCAGCTCCTGACAGTTTACAGCAATGCTAATTTAATCCAAGTTTAATCCATGCTGTTTGCATCCACATGGGGTTTTTAATTCACAATTYCACTCATTTTTCCCCTCTCCTTAGCCATCCTAATTTCTTGCATCCCAGCCACGTTTCCTCAGCTCCAGCAACAGCTCAGTTCTCAATCCCCCTCCCCAACACCTCATTTTTGCTTCCAGCCYCCCCCCAAAACATCCCTTTTAATCCACTTTTTTCAGCTTTTCCTCCGGATAAAAAACAGACTCCACTCCAGGAGAAACTCCTCCCGAAATCCATCAGTTTTCCCTGGAATGAGGAATCACCACCTCTCTCCCAGGGCTCCACGAGCATCTTTCCCTGAGCATTTTCAGAGGCAGCGGTGYGTGAAAAGGACTAAATTTTGCATCGTTTCTCACCGGGAGAGCTCAGCGACTCCAGGCATCTCTCCCTGACTAAAAGTACAGCAGGAACTCCGCCAAGTAAAGCCAACTTCCCACTCTGCCAGCGAAAATATTTCAGGATAACGGGATGCTTTCCCCAAGCCCGGGAGTACCTGGAGCTGTTTTGACAACAGGGATCAGGYTCGTTCCTCACTTAACGCGATTAACGGGTGCTTTTCCCTAAAATTAGCAGCTTTTCCAGCGCTGAATTCCCCGTTTGGAGAGGCTCGGTTATCCCTGATCCGGGATTCCCGTGGTTCCCGGAGCCCTCGTGGCAGGGGGGGAACCCCTTGGAGGTTTTAAAAAAAGGGGATTTTTATGAGGTTTTGCCGCCTGGAGCTGACTCTCAGCACCACCAAATCCCCCCGGATCAAGTTCTGCTCTTTCCCCCGGTGTGGGACACACAAACCCACGGCTTTTTCGTTTGTTTTTTTTTGTTTTTTTTTTTGTTTTTTTTTTTTCTCTAAATAAACGTAAACCAGCACCAATTTTTCCCCGTTTTTGTGCCTTCTCCCCGCTTCTCCCCGCTCAGCACGGGGGTTTAAGGGGAGTTTTTTTAAGGGGTTTTTCCCCTTCCCAGCGAAGCCACGACCCCCAGGACGCCCTCACGGCCCCAGAAAGGGGGGAAAGAGGGGGGCTGAGGCGAGAGGGTCCCGGGGGGGGGGGGGGGGGGGGGGGGGGGAACGTGGAGAAGCGGGGAGTGTTTCCCTCAACAAAGGGAAAGTTGCGGAGCCGCCGAGCCCGGCGCGGGGGTCCCGCCCGCAAACAAAAGACGGCGACCCCCGTGATGGATGAGGGGGGATGGCGGAACGGGGTCCGCCTCAGCCCCACAACCGCACCGCGGAAAGGGGGGGGGGGTCCCTTTCAGGGGGGGCATCAAAGACCCCTCCTGTCCTCCTTGTGCTCAGCCCCCATATCCCCCGACCCGCCTGTCCCTCTCTGTCCTCAGGGGGGTCGCGTCCCGTGTGTCCCCCCCCCCTCACCCCCCCGTCCCCTTTATTTACCGCCATCACCAGCACGCGCGAGCTGTCACCCAGCGCGAGACGCCCCGGCCGGCCACGCCCCCTCCCCGCCCATTGGCCGCCGCGCCCCGCCCCGCTCTCCCATTGGCTGCAGCGCGCGTCACTCAACGCAGACACCCGCCTCCCTCTCCGCCGCTTACGCCGATTGCGTAGCGCGGCACCCAAGCGGAGCCCGCGGGTATTTCCGCTGTTTGCGTAGCGTACGCACCCCGCTGGCGTAGCGTACGCAGCGGCGGGCAAAGCGGCGGCGGAGCGTACGGAGTGTGCGCAGCCGGCGGGGGGCGCTGTTCAATGGGCGCCGGGGGGGGCGGGACGGCGCGGGTTCGAGTCCCGCCYCCGCCCGTGACGTACCGGGCTTTGTGAATCGCGGGGCCGAAGTTCGGTCGAGGCACGGGAGGGTAAATAAGGGTGTCTCGGAGACAAAGAGGCTCCGAAAGGGGCGGCGCGGGGCCCCCCGASGGGGTGGCGTGGGGTGGGAGATACCCCACGGGGGCCCTGAGGTGATGGGGGGGCTGAGGTGATGGGGGGGATTCGGCACGGGGGTCCCTGAGGTGATGAGGGGGCACAAGGGGGAGGCCATGAGGGCTTTGGGGTGATGGATACCTTGAGATGGGCACCCTGAGGTGATTTGGGGGACGCCCCAGGGGGGCCCTTGAGGTGATGGGGGTGCCAAGGGGGTTCTGAAGTGATGGAGACCCTGAGGTGATGAGGGGGCAACCCGAAGGGCCCTCAGGTGATGGGGGGGAATTATGGGGTTTCTGAGGGGATGAAGACCTTGAGATAGGGTCTAAAGCGATGGGGGGAGGGCATCCCACAGGACCCCAAAGGTTACAGGGAGAGAGGGGGCACCCCAAAGAGTCCCTGAGGTGATGGGGGCATACCCCAAAGGGTCCCTGAGGTGATGGCAGATCACCCCAAAGCATCCCTGAGGTGATGGAAGGACACCCCAAAGGATCCCTGAGGTGATGGGGGGACACCCCAAAGGATCCCTGAGGTGATGGGGGGACACCCCAAAGGGTCTCTGAGGTGATGGGGGGACACCCAAAGCATCCCTGAGGTGATGGGGGGACATCCCAAAGGATCCCTGAGGTGATGGGGGGACACCCCAAAGGATCCCTGAGGTGATGGGGGGACATCCCAAAGGATCCCTGAGGTGATGGGGGGACACCCCAAAGGATCCCTGAGGTGATGGGGAAGGTTTGAGGGGGCTGTAGGGTCCCTGAGGTGATGGAGAACATGACAGGGGGACTCTGAGATAATGGGGTCACACCCCACGTGGCCCCTGAGGTGACAGGGACCCCATGGTGGCACCTGGGCCTGGTCCATTCTGACTCTGTACCTGCCTGGAGATCACACTGGCACAGCTTCAATGAGTCTGTAACGTCTAAGAATTAAAACTTTGTGAGATTAAAAAACCACCACAGCGCAAGAACAGAACAAAAGCCCCAAAAATCCCCCCGGGTGGCAGCGAAACTTGGGAGTGGCTGTGCCACTGATGCACTTTGTGACCCTGGTAACATCACCTATATAATAAATAAATAAATAAATARAAATAATAAACTRTGCAAAAGTGATGCCTCCATTCCCAAAATCCCCGTTCCTTTTAGGTCAGGCTTCAATTTAGGGAATGAAACAACACTGACAGAGATTTTGAAAGGTGCAGAAGCAGGAAAAAAAAGAAAGAATTCACGGTGGTACAGGACCACAGTGTGGCCACCTGCCCAACAAAACAGGCAACCAACCTTCAAAAACTGAGATTTGACAGGCAAGATGAGGATTTCTGCAGCAAATAAAATGGAAAAAAAGAGTCATTTTGGCCAACAAGAGAGTAAAAAGCCTCAGAGTCATGTGGGGCAGCTGTTCCCTCATTCCCAGGAGGCAGCAACAGGCTTTGCTGGGACACGAAGGGCTAAATCCTCCTCATCCTCACGCCTGTGGGAACCCRCTGACGTCAAGGGGTTAATTAAAGGCAGAACGTCCCTTTTTATAACTCCAGGAACAGCACAATGTATTAATAAAAGCCCAGAAATCCCCAGGGATTCCGGCACACGCTTCCCATGTTTTTTAGGCACGTGAGGAGAGTTTGGACATCTCTGGTTAAGGGAGCAGCCTGGGGAATTAACAAAGCATTACCGACATTCACYGTGACTAATCTGCTCATTAAGAAGGGTTTGTTTGTTTTTTTTTTAACCTTAAAGCTTGTAATGGAAAACAGGACAAGGATAACCCACCCCTACAAAACGTAATTTTCCTAAATTTTCCCGGTTTAATTACGTGAATTTTCACCACTGAACAGCCCCACGTAAGTCATGAACTCGAGGCTCAGAGTTGCAAAAAAATCAGTGTATTCAGCATGTTGGAATTTCTGCCACGCTTAGGGGATATTGTGCCATTTCTTATGGTTCATTAACCWCCACTTTCTGGGCCCTGTGCTGATTAAATTTATTAAATGCTCACAACTAAAAGCTCTGAGTATTCAAACAGTTAATTAAGTTTGCAGGTAGAAATGATAATCACAGAGAATCATATAGAAATTAAAAGTTCTCAGCCAGAAAATCAAGCCACAAACCAGCTGCTTTTTTTTCCTYTTTGCTTCAGGAAAAMAATCTGTTTAGGACAAATTATTTCTGTTTTCTTTGCTCTTCAGACTCTTACGGGCAAGAAACCAACAATATTTTTCCTCTGAGCTGTTTTTTCACAAGGAATTCACTGTCCTGCTGGGAAATCTTCTTTCCCAAAACCATCCTTGGAGTTTCTCTACCTCCCCTTTTCATCCAGGACACATCTCAGCAGAGCTGGAATGCTGATGACTTTTCAGGAATATGATGGAAAAAAAGATACTGAAGTATCGTTATGTCTTACAATGAATTTTTGGCTCTTATTGCCCAAATTCTTCCTTATTCCATTGAATTTGAAGCCATCAGGATTTTTTAAATGTTGTTCAGGGACAGAGCATTTATTACCTACCTTWAAAATAACGGGATAAAGCAGCTGGAATTCTCTCTGTGCCTGAAAAAGCTCCTGTCAGGCTCATTTATTTATTTTTAAATTTTGAGAGGCGGCAGTTTTTGATGTTCCCATCAGCTTTACAGWGGGTAAAGGCAAGGTAAGAACGTGCCAGGAACAGGAAAATACCAGAATTCTTTTTTTTCACAAAGAAATCAGTTTGCTTTGGGGTATAAAGGTCTTGAAGCAAACCCAAGAAAAGACTCTAAATTTAAACATCACAAACCAGCACAACTCTCACTGTGCAGAAACTCCTCCTTCTCCCAAAATCCAGGGTTTTATTGGGATGGAATGCCAAAAAACACTGATGTGGATATAAAAAATAATAAATTGGAGAGATCTCTCCTGTAGCTGTTCGAAGTCTTGGAAGCCGTTGCTTTTTGCTGGAATTTCTCTTTTCCCCATGGATAAACAGCGATTCCCTGCACGAAGCACAGATCCAATAATCCCAAACCGTGCAGGACAACCAGGAACACGCACGGAAAACTTTGAAACGGGAACRAGTCCAAGAAGAAAAAAACCCTTTGGGGATTTTGGAGGAACTCCTGATCCAGCTGGGCAGGATGCATTCAGGGAGCTCCAGGGAATCCTTTTCACCTGATCCCAGCCACAGGGACCTGCTGCTGCTTGCGGATTTTGTTGAAGAGCTCCATGTACTGCACCATGGTGTCCCCGGGGCTGTAGGCACTGTCGTGCTTGGTGCTGAACACGGACGGGATCCCGGGAGCGTGGCTGCCCATGAAGCTCTGCATGAATTCCATCAGCAGGTTCCAGCAG